TTAAGAAAGAAGCAGCAGACAGGTGTGGAAATGGTTATAAAAAAAAAAAGGAAGATGTTTCAAGACCCAAGAATGTCCAAGAATATTATCTGGTTATAGCAAATAGATCACAACCAGAATCTGCTCTCTTACAATCTTGGGAAACAGGACTTGAAAGCAATGGCAGAACTACAATTAAGTGGTAGAAACTACTGTGAAAGAGACGACCAGAGCTATGGAAGATTGATAACCATTGTGTGTGTGTTTATGCCTTCAAGTCATCTGTCTACTTATGGCATCCCCATTCATTTCATAGGGTTTTCTTAGGGAAGAAAACTGAGAAGGTAGTTTTACCAGCTGTATAATTCCCTATGGAACACAACCCACACAGCCTATTGCAGGGGTGATGAACCTGTCACCCACCAGTCGATGCAGGATTACAATATCCATTATCCCTGACTGATTAGAGTTGATGGGAGTCAGAAATTTAACAAGTGGAGGGCCACAGGGTGCCTGATCATGCCCAAAGGGAATATGGCACACTCAGAATTTTATGTATTTTAAACCATTTTTTTTAGTGTAAAAACTAACTTAAAGAAGTGCATATTTGACCCTAGTGTACACTTGCTCTGTTTCTCACCCCCCTCATTTCTGTTGTGTCTGTTTTTCTTTGACTGTGAGCCCCTAGGAGCAAGAACCTATACTCTCATTCTATAGAATGTATCAAGTATGTAGACAAGTAAAAAACAAGATATTCTAGGAACATTTTTTTTTAAAAAATCAGAATTTAACATGCTAAATTTAAATTAAAAATTCCATGCTTACTTTGCCTTGTATGGAGAATCATAGGAAATGTTTTTCGCTTCCATTACACTTTCATACTCCTTTGCCCTACAGAAGGAAACATTTTAAAATCACTGATCTTGACTTACACACAATACATTCTGCAGCATATATTTTCACTGTTTTGGTTCTCGCTTTTTACAAAATCACATCATATTAAAGCAGAAGTTGGTGGAGCTTTTCAAAAACTGTGTTAATTCTAAGACACTTTAACAATAGTGACTGCATACCTGGCAGAAGAAGTTTTAAAACAAATTGAGGCTGAAATGTTTGAAGCATCATAAGCATTAACTGCCAAGCATATGGAATGAAGGTAATTCTAACATTTAAATGTTATCAACACTGAGTACTAATTTTGTCATTATCAATGTAAATATTATTTTTTAAAAATGGCTTAAAACTATAGTGCATACTTGGCTCTCATTCAGATTTTTTTTTCAATAGTGCTAGCAATTCATGCAATCCTTTAAGTTTCCCCACACAATAACAGACGGAAAAGCCAGGTATGGATGGCTGTTTCACTTTAGGGAAAATGTACACAGCAGTCAGCAGTACAAACCTGTTCAGACAATGAAAAAGTATTCATGTTTACCTTGGCTTAATGCCACAATGCAAGCAAGAGAGAGAGGGAAGGAGGGGCAATTGTTTCTTTGACATTGTTTATCTCAGCTTGGGCCAGTATGGGCCAAGAAATGATTCACTAGCCTAACCAGTGACTTAATGCCTACATATTCTAGCAGGTTTCTAAGATAACCTGGCTGATGAAGATCCTTGAAACTGGTCCTTGATCCAACTACTCAAGTGCAACAAGACCAAAGGGGGCATGGACTTAGTGTGGCAACCCAATGAATGTGTTGGATTTATCTGCAAGCTGATTATGTCCGTGCTATCTATTTTGCTTTTGTTTGCTACCAAAGAACTAAGAAATCCATGTCACTTGTATCAAGACTGCAAAAAGGTTGATGAGAATCACACTTAACATCCTACAGTCTGAGTTAATCAACAATGCCAATCTTTTCTGTCAAATACAGAGACCTTGACACAAGCCATTTCTGTACAACTAAGGCTTTAAAATACATCAATTCATAGTCATCCGGATCCACTGGAGACATCCTCCTTTGATGTTGTAAAGAGGGAAAAATAATATAATTGTACTTTGTATTTACTCTTCCTAGTCATTCTTCAAACCTGTTAGATTCTCTAAGCAGATTGGGTACACCAGACAGATAGACAGAGAGACATGGGTGGGTAATGAAGGGAGAGGCAGAAATACGAAAAGCTTTTAAGACAAGGATGAAAAGCTTGACCTTTAGCTAAGAGGAGAAAAGGAAGGATTCTGAGAGACATGGCATGATTAGAGTGACAAGCAAGGAAGTTGATTTTCAAGTTTGCACAAAGTCAGTGAGAAGTAGCTTTTGTATATTCTGCAAATATTTATCTTCACCAAATACATGCCCTGGGCTATCCTTTGCCCCTTAATTATCTTCCTTGTTCAGTTCATACTTTCTCTTGGTGGCTAGAAAGTAAGCAGGTCTTCATTTCTCTGCCTAACCCAAGATACTTAATGTACCCTCTGTCTTTATATAATCCCATCTCCTCACCTAATAGTAAGATTACATTCAAACATTTCATTATTTTTGCAAAAATAATTTGTTTGTCTAGGAAAGACAGATGGCCATCCATTTTATTTCAGCTTCTGTGATACACCAAATGGTGAGATGTGGGGCATGAGAGACTGGGTGCATTTGTACTCTTGTCCTGGTATGGATTTCCCTTTGGCAATTGACTGGCCACTATGTGAACAGAAAGTTGGGATTCTACAGGCCTTTTGTCTGTTCCAATATTGCTCTTCGTCAGTGAGTACATTTTTAAAGGCTGTTTCTAAATATTGGAAACATATGTGTGTTTAGTATTATTTAATTGGGATGTCTTCATTCCATCTCTTTGTCTTAACATCAGGAAATGAAACAAGACAACAAGTTGGCTCCCTAAGACAAGTGAAAATGAGCACACAATAAAATAACACAAAATTATCTTAAAAGGCAAAGGTGGTGTATTGCTGCTTCAGCTGCAGCTCTCTGAAGGTTCCATGGGGACATATCTTGCAGACAAGAAACCATTTTGAAATATTCAGCCAAAACCACTATCAACAGTTTTGGAAAACAGAGACTTTCATATGCATTAGAAAACCACTGGCAAATCAACCAATGATTTCACTAACACTATGCCGTTTGCCTCCAATTTACAACTTAGCTGTTTTCAGTCATCAATTCACTGCTAAATATGCAGTATTTTGATGTAATGCTTAAATTTTTTCTTCCTTCTGAACTGTACTTAAGCTGGGAAAATTTGCATCATAATGTGTCAAGCAATAAAGTATGGGGTAATTAATAGCTAAAATGCTCATCAAAATGAAGTATGCGGATAATGCAACTCCAGACACACACTTTTACAACTGCACCATTGTATCAAATTACTGAGAAAACATTAACTTGTCTAGAAGCTATAGCAAACTAAATAATAAGCCTGCTTGTGATACTGGGTGGCTGCCCTTTTTTTTAAAAAAAAATGAAAACATGAGAGAAGCAAAAGGATGGAAACAAAAAGGTGAGATGATTCACTATGTGAATGCAAACTAATTTTTATTACCATATAATAAAACTGCTAAAACCACAGGACATTATATACAACAACAATGCCGTTGAACTGATTTGCACACGCACACACAAGACAATTAAAAACAGTGGTGACAATATTTCATTGCTTATAATGGATTTGAACTAACTGAAAGGGATCCTTTAAATAGGGAGTCATTTAAAGAACAACAATATCAATGACAGATTATATTGGATGGAGATAACCTCCGGCAGGGACATTGCCGCTCCAAGGCAAGTGCAACGGCTCATGATAGAATGATGCCCCTCTTTTCATTCTGATACGCGGATGTCACATTTTAGGGCAATGACAAATGGCAGGTCTGACAACTCACTTTCCATTTTAAGATATTTCTAACTTTTCCTTGTTGTGGCAGGCAACAAAATTGATTAAACCCAGCCTGGGGATTTGACACTCCAGCCGACTGGCTTCTATTTGTTGATTACTATTGATTTTCTTTGATACTTCATTTTAAAAATCAATAGCTCGGAAGAAAAATAGGCATGGTTTACACATACTTAAACATACTATTGTATGCTAGAAGAGGCTACAGTTTTGGCAGGGCTCTGGTATCCAATTACGAGGAAAGCTCTTAACAGGTGAAAGCAAGGGCTCTGGATCGATATTCGGTTTTCTTCCTCAATCAGAGAAAGTGGCCATAAATTAGACTCATCAGTGTTATTTTCAAGATGTTCCTGAAGCAAATAACTTCAAAGCTTAAAAAAAATGATAGCAATTTTTTTGAAGGACAAAAAGTAAAAAAACACACCAAGCTTTACATACACAAAACTAAAAAATGCCAGTACCTTGAGTTCATTCGTGCTTTTAGTTTCTTGGCTTTCTTTTTTGTCCTCTGTTTCTCTTCACCATCTTTTAAAGGATCTGTTGCAACCAAGCTTTCTACCAAAATATCCACAATATACTTCTTTAATGACAGATGTTCCTAGAGACAGTAGACAGTAAAGAAACAATGTTTAACACAGAAAAGGGGAAATGGCCCAAAACCAGCTGAAAATGGCACCACCACCACCACCAACAACAACAATTCCACCAGAGCTCAATTTGGTCCCCCCCCCAAAAAAATGAACAAACATTTTTTAACAGTTACATACTAAAGGATTATTTTAAAAAAAAGTTTTCTTAACAAGCTAGGTAATGACAACCTGTACTTTGATTTATAAAATGTCTACCTCTCTCTATATTACTCAATAAAAATGGGGCAGATATGGTAAAGCCACAGCTGACTGACAAAGTCCGTTTTCTTCCTATGCTATGTATTTAAGGCGGCATGAACTGTTTTCTCCTACAAAGAAAGTCACTGTCTATTCCCATGAACAGTGTACCTCTATGATAATGGAAATGTCTACAAAAACAGGCTGTTCTAATGGCATGCCTGGTCTACATGAGAATCTTTAAAAGCTTGGTGTTAAAACAAAAAAAGGCGGAAGGGTAAGGAAAGTCATTGGATCATGTGGATAGTGTGTTCCCAGATTTAATGGTACAATGCCTGGTTAAGCGTGAGAGCCAGCATGGTGCAGTGGTTTGAGTGCTAGACCAGAACTCTGGGACACTAGGTTTGAATCCTTGTTCTGCCATGGAAACAAACTAGATGACCCTGTGCTGGTTGCACTGTCTTCGTTTCAGAGAAAGACAATGGAAAGCCACCCCTGAGCAAATCTCATGAAGAAAACCCCATGGCAGGCTCTCCCTAAGGTTGCCATTAAGTTGAAAACAACTTAACAAACAATAAAAGGTCTTTCAGGCCTGGCCCACTGTTTCACATAGTGAAACACTCTGAAAAATTCACAAAGAGGTCATAAAGCAAGGATGGGAAAGTGGAACCTGCAGGCCTTGGGTAGTGCTGGAGCACCAATTTTGTAGCCCCAGAAACCCCAAAGCCCCTGAAATCCCTCCCTACCAAATCAGACTCATTTTGCCTAAAAAGTTCTCAAACTGCCCAGCCTAGACTGGCACTAGACTATCAATTTGAGCAGTAATATAATTTAACATGCAGATGTTCCTCAATAATACTTTCTTTGATGTCAGGTCTTTTGGTCAAGCAAGGAATGGGTTAGAGTGGATGAACTACCTGAAAGCAACTCATGCCATGTGCAACAAGCACCCAAGCCAAAGTCAGTAGCTTTACAGGAATGGATAGTATCTTATTGTCCAAATCTGTCCCCTCATCCCTGCTGTACTGTCAACTGTAATTCTATATTCTCACTATTTTCAATGACGGGACGATAAGTCAACCAAAATAGCAGGTCAACAGCTTTCTCTCCTAGCAAGTTGTGATCAAGTGATGCAGACAAAAGGAAGGTGTATGGCATCTTGAAATTAGTGCCCATGGCTTGAGATCATGGACATCCTACAGTGAGGTAGAAACCAAAATGTGCACTAGTCTTTAAACGTAAAATTATCTCCAGCTGCACTGCTAACCATATATTAGGGATTAATCCACTCTTCTTAAATACGTTATCTTCAAAGGAAGGTTATTGTTAAAGATAAGGTGACACTCCCCCACCCCAATACTCAGTGATAAAAGATATAACACTCTTCCTGTTAGGTTAGAATTATGAATGGGCCACTCCTCAAGTATCCTTCTTGATCTAATCTGCAACCTGACAGACATCTCTGCCTGAATGATAAGAATTTGACACACACATTCATTCACCTCCCTCATGAGGTGAAAGAGGCCTCCTTCCCCTTCGGTTTCATGACATGGGATAGCTGCAAAGCATACTATGCGCTCCAATGTATTGGGTGCACACACAAAACCAGGAGTTCTCAGCATTCTCAGCTTTCAGTCGCTGCAACTCAGATTAATCTCAAGCTTCATCAGTCTCAATGAAAAGCAGAGTAATAACACGTTCTATCACAAGCGAGTCTCACTTCTTCAAAGAACAGATCAAAGTGGAGGATTACCCAAGTTGGCAGACCTAATATCTAATGCGTGGAAGAGAGGTGGAGGAAAAGTTGTCCATCCAAGGTATTGGATGTCAACAGCACACTCTGAACCCTGCAGTTGTCATTGTCTATGATTTATTGTCTATCTCTGGCAGGCATGTTTCTAATATTTGCTGGCAAGAAGATCATTTTAAAAATTCCCACATAGCTATCTTGCAAATATGTAACTCCATGGAAGCTTAAATGTTCAACACCCAAAAAAGGCTGTGTCCAAGCATCTGAGTTATGTCTAGCCCCTAAACTGGTTTGATACATAGTAAATTGTGTTAATCTTCTTAATGTATTCACAGTTTTGCAAAGCTTTGAGTGGCAGACTATGACTCTGGAGAACAGGGTTCGAATTCCTACTCAGCCATGGAGACCCACTGAATGACCTTGGGCAAGTCATATTCTCTCAGCCTCGGGTGAAAGCAAAGGCAAACCTTCTCTGAATGAATCTTGCCAAGAAAACTCAGTGGCCTTAGGGTCACTGTAAGTCTGATATGACTTGAAGGCACATAATCATAATGAAAGTAATAAGATTATGGCTGGAAGTCAAACAGGGCTACTAAATGAAGCTTGAGATTCTCCCTCCTAACCCCCAGGACCTTTTCTCTCTGAAGAGAAAGAGAAAATCAACAGGCCATATCAGTTTTTCCTGAAAATCCTGACAGTTTCAGTACATGTTCAGCATGCAGGATTGGGAAGGGAGGCAGTCTGATGTGAAGAACACGAGTGCCAAGGATCCAAGTACATACAGGCCTGGTGTTTTAGGTCTCTGGTTTAAATTTTGTTTATTTTAGATTTGTGAATATTTAGAGCAACAGGAAATAATGCTGCATGTTTACCTAACAGACATTGGACACTGCAATTCATAATGTTATAGCTCTTTACATTTATCTGTCTGTTTCCATAGGACATAGAACACCTGCTGATGAAAAAAACATCCTAACATCTAATTGAAATCAAGGAGATGTGAAGTGTTCATCAGTACAATATGGAAAAAATCCAGACAAAAGTGAAGCACTTTTATGCACATTGCTCTTAACTGGAAAGAGTTAAATGTATGTGTAAACTTTCCCATTAAAATCAATGGGACTTTTAAGTATATTTAAGTAATTTTTGAATAGATATCCTCCCCTAGAAAATGTAATTGTGCTCTTAGTCCCCATTTAAGAGCCCACTAAAACTGGGTTTGATACTATGTTTTCTACATGTCTCTCCTATTCACACTGACATGGAGTACATTTATATCACACAGTTTATAACAGTTTGATATCAACTTAAATGTCATTGATACCATTTCAACTATATATATGGAATCCTGAGTTTAATAAGCAACATAGAATTCTTTGCTAGTTCACAATGCACTAGAATCCTTTTGTAGAGAATTTTAAGTCCTTCAACAAACTAAAAATTCCAATGTTCTATAAGACAGGGCCATGAAAGATAATATACTGCTCTACCTATACAGTGTGAATACACTGATGGAAGACTTATTCAACTGTGATTTGGACAACTCCTTGTTTCCATAAAATGATGGGTTTTGTTTTCTAAAAATAATATTTTCCCAAGCACCTAAAAATAGGAGATGTGAAATAAAAGCTATAATACAAATAAGTCCTATATGACCATGGCTGAAAAGAGTAGACACAGAAGGAACAATCCGTATTTACAGTTTGGGTTGGGCAGCTCTGATCGTCCTAGGGCTGAAATAGATAACTATGAAAAACAAAGTAGATCCTGCAAACCTGAAAAATCTATGCTCTCATGGAGACAGATTACAAAGAGAAGAGTTTTGGATGGACATTAAAATATGACTGTCAGTGTGCCCAAGGGAGGAAGAAAGAAGGATTTCTGTTATATAATCTTGTTATTAAAATAAAACCAATCTCACCCATATAATTTCCTAAATTTTTCCTTTTATCTTTAAACTAATAGAATTGAAAAATTAAATTATAAGACCCTAAGATAATATCAACTAGATATACTGAGGCCTGTCCTGAATTCCACCCCTGAAACTTTATGTTGATCAAGATAAATGTCACAGTAACTCAGGTAACATTGTGGCATTTTTTTTTGTTGAACTTACTTTCCAAAGAAGCTCTTTCATTTCTTACCAGACTGCTATTATCCCTATTGAACTTAACACAAAAAAATGTGTCAAAGATCAAGTGTATGTGATCTGAAGTGTCAAGTGCAGAAGGGTAAAGGTGAAATTTCATTAGGTCAGGGGTGGTATAAATAAAGTCTTATATGTCAAAGAAGAAGGGTCATTTAACATGAAGACATCAGAAATGGCAAGCAATAACTTTAAGTAGGAAGAGCGTGTTCACCTAAGGGTAACTTCGTTGATTAAAAATAAAATAGGACCCAGTGACAAATATAACTAAGGTTATTCTCTTAGACACATTATTTACTTCTCTGTTTTGAAATTTTACCCAACAAATAAGGTATTTTATTTCTAGATGGACATAAATTTTGCTCAGAGCTCTATACACTGAATAGAAACCAACCTACATCTACACCAACCTGGCATACATCTTAGCTGCATCAGTGTCTGAATCTACTGTAATACTGCACTGACCAAAATAGGGTGGGAACTAAGCTAGCAGAGTACTCTGAGGCTACTGGTATATGAACAAAATCATATGAAATCACAAGCTGGCCAGATGTTGCTTTGGGATTTCCTGAAGAAAGAAAAATCAGATACAAATATGAAGTTAAAATTTTGGATGCATGCCTCTAGGAAAAAAAACAGAACCTGATCTCTAACAGACTCCTGTAAATATTATCGTGTACATGTATATGTATGTGCTGTAGGCATGCATGAATACATGCCTGCAACACAACAATTATATCCTAGAGATACACACACAGCTATTCTCCAAGGTATCTATCACTGTTATGTGCCTTGAAGTAAATTAATTTCTCATTGACTCAAAGAGATTGTTTAGATCCCTGCAAGCACCCATGCTATTCTACAGATGACAGGATACAGAAAACAGGAAACCTACCACTTCTTCATCGGAAAGCTCCCGTCCTTGGATGCTGCTGTTTTCTCTCACTGCTTGCTGGTGCTTTTTCCCTTTAATATGGCTAAAGAGGTAGACTTCAGAAGAAATCTGAAAAAGAAAAACATTGTTTTTCTCTCTCAGCAAAAGATACAGTGCAACCTATGCGTGCTCTACATGTGCCAGTTATAATGGGACCTTAGGGGCTTTCTGGTCCACAGATCACACTTCAGCAGGACAGGAGAAACATGTCTTCAGCCAAAATTAAGAAGTCCTCTGAAAAGTATAGTTCAAGAAGTATGGGTGGGGAGAGAGAAAGGGGTGTCTGAAAAGAGAGGACGTGTGTGAGAGAGAAAAGGAGGGGGCTAAAGGGAGAAAGAAAAATGTGACTTTGGGCTCACTATCACTGCCTTCAGCCCCATCTGCCACCACCATAGAGACTCTGACTGCCTACGTCATGGCAAGGTGGCCCATAAAAGAAAAGAAAAAAGTTGCCCACCCCTGCCCTAAAGCTGCTCTATGTACTAGTTCCAGATGCTGCATTGTATTCACACCTGGCCATCCTGTTAGGGTTTTGTATTCTACCTCCCTAACAATCACTTCATCAATGAAAACATTCTAAAGAGAATGCCAGT